GATGCTGGTCTGACTGGGATGGGGTAGGATAGAGTATTTCAGCTGGAAGGGATCTACAGTGATCGGTTCAACCGCCTGGAAGATGTGCCAGTGGCTGCTCGTGCCGGCAGGAACAGGCTTTCCCTGGCTGTTTAATTCCCTGCAGAGGGCATGAACACAAAACTGAGTGCCAGCAGCTGGATAAATGTGCAGGTCACGGGGCTTTGGGGCAGTTTTATCCCAACAGTATGGTTGTGAGCAAATAGACGCTGGTTTGCTTTCCAGAAAACAACCCCCCGGAGCAGATGCAAATGAACCCTCCTGGGGACTGGTCATGGATTTATTGATATCAGAAAGCCAGCATTTATTTTACTAACTGCTCTTTTACCAGGAACAGGCATGTTTTGAGTGCAGGCAGCCCTGCTGACACAGAGCAGGTGAGTGGGTCTCCAGGGCTGAGTCCCTGGCACTTCATCCCTTTGGCACCATCCTTCCCGAGCCCACTGGTGGCCGTGGCTGTGGGGAGGGGTCCAGCAGCTCTGCACCATTTCCGGGCACTGGCATAAGGGTGTCGTACAGAGCCTCGTTTCATCCACTCCTGTGTGTAAATCAGGTTTGATGGGGGCAAAGAAGGAGTCGTGGCCCCGGTGAAACAGCGACTTCCCAACCAGGCGCGCTGGGGATGGGAAGGGAGAAGCAGAGCGGTCGTTTGGCTGGGAAGGGAAAAGGTCTCGCTCCTTCCTGGGTGGATTTTGGCAAGGCTGGTGGGAGGTGGGTAATTAGAGATGGCTGGAGGAACATTGTCTATATATTCCCAGGATTAAAAGGCCATGTACACAGACACACCGCGCCGTCGGCCCGAGCCGAGCAGGAATTGAGCGCAGAACTGCTGGCACGAGCGAGCTGCCTGCCAGTGAATCACTTTAATGCTCCATTTTCAGAGGCACAAACACGCAGGTTTACAGTAACTGTGCATATGTTGCATCCCAGTGCTCCTCATCGCATCCACTGACGCTCCGTGGGTCGTAAAAATTAAACGGGCATCAATCCATCAGCACCGGGGTTCTTCCCCGAGCGCTGTAAATCCCACCAAAACTAATTAAGTAGGACAGTGGTGCCCATTTAAAGCTGGCACGCAGAACCATGAGCTATTACCGTGCTGAAGACCAGGCTCAAAATCGATTTGGGAGGCCAAAGGCAGCCCAAGTGGCCACGCCGGAGGGCTGGAGTTGGGCACAACTCCCAGCTCTCCACAGCCCGCGGCTGCTGCCTGGGAGAGTTAAGAGATTGTGTTAAGCTCCCAAGATTGAGTTCTCCTCCGCTTTGCTTCTGAAATCAAATCATCCAATTAACATATGTGCTGGAGTTTGGTGCTTGAAATGTTATCTGGCAACTTGAGAAGCTTTTTGTTGTTGCTTTTTTTGTTGGTTTTTTTTTCCCCCTCTTTTTCTTGGTAGGAGTTGTTTGTGGAGCGAATGCTTTCGTCGCTGTCGAAGGGGAGCCTGTTTGCTGCTCTTCCTTTGGCTCGTTAAAGCCTCCAAAGGAGGGATGTTACCAGGGATTGGTGTGAGGATCCGAGTTAACACTTGTCTGGGGTGCTACAGGTTTGCACCTCTGCAGGGTTTTGTTGGAGTTGGAGTTGGGTTTGTGTGTCGGAAAGGGAAGGGAAACTGAGGCAGGCAGTGAGCTGAGCCCGGCTTTGCCCACAGCATTGGCCACTCCTGGCTCCCTTTCAGGGGTGGAAGAAGAGTTTCCACCCCAGTGAAACCCCATTCTCGCTGGTTTTGAGGAGTTTGCCGTGACACCACAGCCAGCAGCTTTAAATGTACAACCTGTCAAATGTCCTGCAGCTCTTGGGTTCACAAATCAGACTCGCAGTGGTGCCGGGAGGGAGAGCTGAGCTCTCAGAGCCAGGCCCAGCTCAGCCACCAACAGCAGCCGCCTCCCCGTTGCTTCACCATTGGGGCTGAACCATTCGGGTTCCAGCTGAAATGTGTCCCCTCTGGGGTCAGACCTCCTGGGACACCCCAGGAGCTGGGTGTGGGGGAGCCCTGACCCTCACTGGGTGTTTTGTGGAGCCTTTTGAGCGCTCCCAGGGTTCTCCTGCTGCCTTGACCTGCTCCCTCTCCCTCCCGTCTCCGCTCCGAGTTTGTGCCAGACTTTAGAGCTGAGAAACCATCAGGCTCCACGGTTTTAAGGTTATTATCCAACCTAAATGACACCATGATTCAATGAAAATGATGAAAATGCTTGTCCAGTTCTTCCCAAAGGAGCAGAAGGCTTCAGGGGCTTAGGGACAGGTTGCAAGCCATGTCATTCCCTGTTTTCCAGCCAGTCCCTGGTGGGATTCCACAGCTGAGGAGGGGCGAGGTATGCAAGGTCCAAGAGCAAGTCACCCTCTGTTTGTAGGGGACACACTACCCCCCCCCATCTGGGAGAAAGCCCTGGCTAGGTGTTGAGGTATCACCCAGAATTTCCACTGTCCCTCTTGTAAGGAATGCCAAGGCGTCGGTGGGTTTGGGGGATGGGGAATGGTGTGCGCCCAGAAATGAGGTTGTCCCCTGGGATCTTGCAGGCTGGAGCTGAACATACACAACAAATGATGGGCCTTTTTGGTGGAAATAACTGGAAATTGGCCCGGTGGGAGAAGAGTGAGGGAATAAACACTTTGGGGTTTCCCAGCTCTGCCCAGTGAGCTCAGCAGGACCGTGCTCCCCTGCAGGCACCGCGGGAAGGTCGAGCTGGGCTGAAGGGCATCGTCTCCTCCAGCTGTTGAACATCTGGCTGCGTGAGCTGCTGGGGATGCCCAGCAGTGACAGGGACTCGTGCCAGGCAGTCCCCGAGATGGCCTTGGCCCCGCTCAGATGGGCACGGCACGAGCACCGACTCGGGCGGCGGTGAGGAGTCCGTGAGCGCTGCTGCCGGTGACTAATCCCGAGCAAATAACAGGGTTGTCCCCTTGAAGGGAGCTGGCAGTGCCACACTCCCGTGGCACTTGTGCTGCTTTCAGAGCCTACGGCGTCAGCCAGGATATCAGAAATGAGTCCTGCGTGACTCAGTGCCATGCCTGGACATCAGGGTGACGGTCACTGTGCTTGCAGGGGGACCAGGGGAGGGGCTGGGGATGCAGGGACCGTGCTGGTGGGCTGCCAGGAAAAGGCAGACCCTGGCAGGGAGAAGGAAGCTGGTCCTGTGGTGATTAGCACTGGCACCAGAAGGCCTGAGAAAAAGAGGGAAGAGTTGGCCGGGGTCCTGCAGGTGAAAGTGGGCTCTGGATGGACGGGCTGGGAAGGAGGGAAAGAGACAGAACCTCCCTGGTAGAAGCAGATCTCTGCTCACCTCCATCCTCCCCAACACTGGGACCTTCCCTCCCCAGGTGGCCTGAGGATCTGGAGTAGACACCCTGCTCTGCTGCCCCGAGCCCTGTGAGGTGGCACAGTGTTGGTCCAGCTCCAGTGGCCTCTGGCCAGGGTCACTCGCAGGAATCCACCCAGCAATTAGTGCTTATTAGCCCTTGAGGATGTGAATCCCCACTGGCCCACTCGGTGGCATTTAACCCTTTGCACGTTGCTGCTGCTCTGCAGGGCCGAGTCCCAGCAGGGGAAGGGCCACAGGGGTTAAATCCATTGGCTTGGGTCGTCCTTCTTTAATTGTTTTATTCTTTACTCGCCTGTAGAAAGTGCAGTCTGGGGTCAGCAGCCTTCATCACATGAGGATTAAAATGCCTGAGCTAATGCCAGGACTGGTGTCACTGGCTGCTCCTCAGATCCCTGTTTTTCCCAACTGGGTGCTGAGGGAGCTCCTGGCAGAGGGGGGCTTGGTGCTCCATGTCTGAAGCTATGAACGCTGCCCTGAGTATGGGGAGACAGGAGAGTGTTTTCCTCGTCATGTCAGCGCCTCCAGCCTGCAGATCAAGGGCCCTCTTGTCCTCTCCCCAAACCCCAGATTTAAAAAATTAAAAGAAGGCTCCTGCATTTCAGTTTGCTGCAAAATGCCAGGGCACGGTCCTGGAGGGAAACATTCTCCAGAGCGTCTGAGGAATGGGAGGGGAAGGCAGAGAGGGGCTGGGAGCAGAAGTTTCTCAGCGCAAGCCTAGGCATGTAAGAACAAGGGTCCCATCAGGAGTCAATGAGACGTGGCTCCCCGAGCCAGCTGAGGGCTGTAGACAGTCATGCCCAGCTGCATGAGGCTCCCCCGAGAGCTGGGAGAACTCACTGCGTGTTCTCCTGGAGGTGGTTTGCCATCAACCAAAGCGGTTTGTGTGGGAACAGTTCAGAGCCGGATGGCAGGGCTGGGCACGGGGGAGTGCGAGCGTTGCCTCCTCATCCCCGTGCCAGGCTTGAAATATGTGGAGAGGAGGGGCTGAGGCGATGATCCCTGCAGCCAGGCTTAAAAGCAGTTGCCTTTGCAAGTTCCTAACTCAGGGGAAGGGGGCTGAGTGTCCTCTTCTGCCTCGCTCTGCTCGTCGCTGCTGCTCCCGGAGCCTCGAGACCGACTGGCTGTGACAGCACCTACGGAACGGGTTTCCTCCTGGGCAGGGATGCACGTCCCCTGTCTGCTTCTTGACCATCAGGTTGTCGGATGCTCTGGAAAACACATGGAGACAGGATCCTCCGCCGGCAGAAATCGCCGCCGAGCTCCGTGCGGCTCTGCCCCTTCCCCCAGACTTGCCGGGCGTTCGCTGGCACCCCCTGGGCAAAGCGGGGAGCGCCCGAGCCGGGCTGCCCAGCAGCCCCTTGCCAGGGTTCCCCCGCTCCCCCCCGCGCCTTCCCGGCCCCCGCCGAACAGATGGTGCCGATTTTCGCAGGGAGGGGGGATGGAGGAAACAAAGCCCGGAGCGATGGGAGGCTGCAGCCTGTCTCCCAAACGCAGCCCCGGGGGGTGACATCTGTGGGGACGGGCTGATGCGTGTGGGTGCCTGTGGCGTGCCGAGCCCCGTGCTGAGCAGGCACTTACGCCCGCCCTGTCTCACTTTTCTTTCTCCTTTGTTGTGTGTGTGTTTTTTCCCCCTTCCTTTCCAGATAAAGAGGCTCGTGGACGGTCTGCAGGGATGTCGCTGAAGCGAGCGGGCTGCCTCCCCCTCTCTGCCCAGCGCAGGACCAGAGGCTGACTGGCAGCTGGCATGTTGCCCCCTCCAGCCCCTGCTTGGCCACGCGATGCCCAGCCCTGCCTGCCCTGCCTGCCCTGCCTGTCCTGTCCCTAGCCTTGCCTCCCACCCGTGACACCCTCTGCCTTCCCCAGGTGTTTCGGGGCGCGGTGACACCCAGCATGCCGCAGAAAGCCACCCCGCAGCCGAAGCCCTGAGGAGTTTCCCGGTAAAACCAGCTCCCTGAAGGCCAGAGCTGCCCCTTCCCCGCCCCGGCGAGGACGAGCATCTCCGACAGCGGATTTCTCTGCGCTCTGCGGGTGTTGAGGTCCTGGTCTGCAGGCTCGAGGAGGGGCTGCCATGGAAGAGAATGTGTTCAGCGTGCAGCAGATACAGCCCAACGTCATCTCGGTGAGGCTCTTCAAGCGCAAGGTGGGCGGCCTCGGCTTCCTGGTGAAGGAGCGCGTCAGCAAACCACCCGTCATCATCTCCGACCTGATCCGGGGAGGGGCTGCGGAGCAGAGTGGCCTCATCCAGGCTGGGGACATCATTTTAGCCGTCAATGGCAGGCCCCTGGTGGACATGAGCTATGAGACGGCGCTGGAGATCCTGAGAAGCATCGCCTCCGAGACCTACGTGGTCCTCATCCTGCGGGGCCCCGAGGGCTTCACCACTCACCTGGAGACCACGTTCGCAGGCGACGGGACGCCCAAAACCATCCGCGTCACCAGACCCCTCTGCCCGGCCCCCAGGGCGGTTGACTTGTCCAACCCAAGCCCGCACGGCAAAGAGCAGCCACAGCCCGAGCGCGCCATGGGCTCCCTGTGGACCAGGGAGATCGGCAGGGAGGTGGAGCCCATGGTCCACGTTAACGGCGTCCTCACCAGCAGCAAAGGGCAGGACGCCGGGAAGGGCAAGGAGGGGGCTTGTGGCCGCCCTTGCCTCAACGGCGGCGTGGAGGACAACGAGCTGCTCAAAGAAATCGAACCCGTCCTGGATCTCCTGAAGAGCAGCAGTAAGGACAGCGATGGAGATGCGCCCTCCAAGGTAGAGACAAGGGATATAGAAGTCCAGGTGGACTGGTAGGTCCCTAAATACCTTTTTTTTTTTTGTATGTTCGGTGGAATGTGCTGGTTTTGGCTACGCGAGGTTGAGGTGCCGGGGAGCGCCTCTCCAGAGCTGGCTGCTGTCTGGCACAGCAGGGTGGAGATGGAGAGGAAGGGCTGCAAAAGCAGGGGGAAGCAGTTGAAGAGGGGAAGATAAAAGCAATGAAAAATTGGGAGAAGACTGTGGAAGAAAGGGAGGAACCATGTAAGTTAAGCATGGGAAATCGGGCGGAGCAGGAGTAACGTCTCCTGGAAAGCCGAGCTGTGATGTGGTGGATCATGGGCTGGGCTGGGAGGTGTTTCGGTTCCATGTTCTTAATCTCAGTCGTTTAAATTTGAGCAAAGTCCTGTGTCCTGGTATCCCCACCTGCCAGATAAGATTCATGTGTTGCCTGTCCTCGCTGTCCTGCTTTAGAGCTCTCCGGGTGGGATCCGCTGTTGATTAACGGCGGGAGAGGGAGCAGGAAGGTCAGACCGGCAGAGCACGATGCTCCCCAGGAGAAATGAGTTTCAGAACCTTCTGTGCTTCTGGGAGAGGGGAGGGGAGCCCCAGCCCAGCTCTGTCTGAAGCCTCTGTGCCAGGGCAGGGACCTGCCCTGGTGCTCTTGTCTTCTGGGAAGCAGGGAAATGTTTCCACCGAGAGCTCGGGAACAGTCAGCCCTTGTTGAAATGCAAGAGTGGAGCTGCCTGTTCATCCCCTCCGCTCTTTCTGGTGCAGGATAATTATTTCAGACCTGTTTGCAGGGGTAACAGGGGTGGGGATGTAGGCAGCACCTGTCCCACGGCTTCTTGAGGACCGTGAAGTCCCATCTTGTGGGTGGAACAGCTTAATTTTTGATATATCCTCCTTGCAAGGGGCCATGTGTGTGGTGCTGCCCTCTTGATCTCCCTCAGCATTTCCCTCATCGCTCTGGAGCTGGAGCAGCTCCCTGTGGCCCTTCCTGCTTTACAAAGCTGTTGTTAGAAGCTATTTTTTCTTTTCAGTACCAGCTCTCTCTCTCTCCTCCTGGCCGTTTATTAGCAGGGCTGGGTTGCCTTTTGCTGTTGCCTTTCCCCGAGTCCCCAAACACATTTTAGTGGTGTCAAGTGCTGCAACGGGTTGTGGCTGCCCTCGGTTATTGACTGGCTGCAACAGCCTGGAGGCTTTGCTGGAGCTGCAGGTCTCGGTTCAGCCACACAGGGATTTGTAATTTCAACTTCTCTTGCTGCACACGCTTCCTTAGGAAGGGGGGGGTGGGGGGGGAAGGAGGAATTGCATTCCTTTTTCTTTATCAGAAACCAGAGGGGAAAGGCACAGCAGGGTCCCTACGTGGGCTCCCAGCCAAGGCTGAGCTCCCGAGCGCTCCCATCCCAAACCGACGCCCACTCCCTGTGTTTTCCATCTCCCTTTTTGTGTTGTCAGTTGTTTTCATGTGGTTTCTGCTCTCTCCCAAATTACTCCTGTTTGCTGTGGAGGACACGGTAACTCAAAGCCCGTTTGGGTGGTCACGCTGAGTAAGAGGGGAAAAAAAAATCCCTGCTGAGCCCAGTGCCGGGTGGCAGACGCTGGGGAAGAGCGGTGGGACACTCTCAGGGACACCCTTCCTGCCATCCCCTCCTCTCCACACGTGCCCCCAGGCCTTGTACATTTGGAAATTGTTGGTTTGGGGCTCTGCTGTGCAACAGGAGGGGATTTAACCCCCCCCCTTCCCCCCGAGCCCAGCATGCTCTGTAAAGGCTGGGGCTGCCTGGCTGGACTGTGGGTCCCTTCATCCAGGATCAGCCCATCCTGGGGGAACCTGCTCGAGGCAACCACGGGTTTGAGACACTGAAAGGGTCGTGCTTGTCTACAAAATGTGCAGGGGTGCTTAAAAGCCCCCTCTGGTTTAGCCCAGGCTGCTGAGGAGGGGTGGGGGGTCGCAGCCCAGCGAAGCCCCTGGAGGACACAATCCTGAGAGCTGGTCCAAGGTGCAGCCTCACCCTTCAAACCACAGCCTCTGCTGGGGTTCCATCCCACCAGCTGCAGGGTCTCAGATGAAATTCTGCTCCAGCTGTGGGGGAGGGATGAAAAATGGTGTCTTTTCTTTGAGGAGTTCTTCTATGCAGAGATTAAACAGAAACGCTTTGAATTCGCGTAAATTGAAGGACCTCAAACCAGCAAGTGGGTACTTCACCAAAACCTCACGCTTTTTTTCTTTTCTTTCAACACCCTTAGAAAAAAAATAATCACATAATCTGTGTAGTCTGGGACTGAGAATCCACTTTTCAGTCAAAATCTCCTGCTTGATGAAAAGCTGCAGCCCCGTTCTTGCGGTAGGACTCAGTGTGAGATGCAGGGATGTGGGAAAGGAGATGCACTGCAGGGAGAACTTGTTGAGAGCTGCTCTGCGGGGCAAAGGGCGTTCCTCCCGTGATGTGCTGGAGATGATTCATCTCCTCTGCTTGGGCTCAGGCAGAGCCAGGGCATCCTGAAGGTCTGCTACAGTCAAAGTCGTCTTGGTCCACAGGAGAAGTGCAGAAAGGGCAGGGAGTGAGGGCAGCGGGTAACCAGGGAGACTGTTGGTCAGTGCCAAAGAAATGCCAAAAAAAAAAAAAAAACAGCAAGCCTCAGCAGATTGATGGAGCTCTCGTGCTGCAGGCTCTGACTCCTCCAGGTTGGGGGGAGAAGCAAAGCTGGTGTCAGTCAGAGCAGGATTAGGAGGGTGCAAAACCTCGTTTAAGGTCGAGCTTGACACCCACAGCCCGGGCGATTTGACCATCATCAATCCAGCTGGAGATGCTGGTCTTGGGATGAATCCAGCTCTGTCTCGTCTTCGCCTGGTGCTGACCTTCCCAGCCTGCAGCGCTGTGTCGGAGCTGCTCCAGCTCATGGAGCTGTGACAGCTTTCTGGAGGCAGAAGGGAAGCAAGTCTGAGGTTGTTCACAAGGAGCCAAAAACTTCTCGTTCAAGGTGGGCTCTGCCAAAAGTGATTCAAACAACACCCGGCGCTTCGGGCTTCCAGCCCCTGTCTCTAGTGCTACTTCCAAGGAAAACTGGGAACAGTCAAGTCCAGTACCTGAAGGGAGCCTTCAGAGGGCATTCTGTGATTGATGGGTTCTGAGTTCGCTTTGGGGAAACAATCAGTTCATCTCCGTCCCTTGCACTGCCCAGGGGAGTTATCCCTGGAATGACCTGGCTTTTCCTCCCTGCTGATTCCCCTGCCTGTCTGTGGGACGGGCTGTGGCCACGGCTGCGTGTCTGCTCCGTGGCTCAAGCCATCTGCGCTGAAGTCAGTCATGAAACAGAGCATGGAAGTGGGGAGCAAGGTATGATGAGAGCTGGCATTTCTGCCATGAGGCTCACCGTGGGCTAGAGAGCAAAAATAGAGTTTGATTCACTCACTGCCAGCTAACCTAGGTCTG